AAAAAAAAAACAAAGGAGGTTGGTTACACTCACTCTCGGGCTGGGCTGGGGCGTGGATGTACAGATGGTGTCTGTGAGGGATGGTTTGACTTGCAAGTCTCCAGCTTTACAAGGGTGAGAAAGCAACACCCATACACCTATCCTGGTTGGAAACTAATTCACCCTGACATACTCACCGTGAAACAGGCTGTGTGAAGGGCTGGGCCCGGCTGCAAGCTGATGAAAGTGTTTGAGCATCATTCAGATGACCTAGATTGAGCTCTGACGTTCAGGAAATAAGGTGCACAAAATGCACTTTCAGCCCACACTCTTCATGCTGCCAGGGGCTTATCTGTGGGGAACCCCACTGTGAGTGCAGCCACCTGTATCTCTCAGGGCCCACTGTCTAGCCAGCCCCCTGCCTGGTTCTCTGGCATTATAGGAGCCCACTCAGTCCAAAGCTCAAGGAGAGGCTCAGCTCCTGGGTCAGGAGCTGGAGGTTTCTCTCCTGTTCCCCACTCTATTACAGTCTTGGGGAATGTACACGTGTGTCTCCCAAACCCCTAGACCAACCTTGCCGAACTCTGTCCACAGGTTTGCCGGGTACCGCACCAGACCTGGAAAAAAGAAAGCAGATTTTTGGGCAAAACTTCATACCTCCAAAGAAGCCAAAAACCTTCCTGCAGCTCGTATGGGAAGCACTGCAGGATGTGACGCTCATCATCCTGGAAATTGCGGCCATCATCTCCCTAGGACTGTCCTTCTACCACCCGCCCGGCGAGAACAACGAAGGTAAGACGGTGCCCACACAGGAGGGCACATGCGCTCAGAGCCACTGCCACTCAGGCTCAGAGGAGGGTCTGAGGTGCAGACACAGGGCCTGCCAGGAGCCAGGGTGGAGCCAGGGCCAGCCTCACCTCCAGGCTCCTGTGCTGAAGTGCGGGGTTAGACCAGCTCCTTGGGCCCCAGAGGGACGCTTACTGGGCACTACGATGTGCCTGGCTCTGGGCAGAAGTATCTTCTAACTCCCCACTAGAGAGGGGCCATGCTGCCCAAACTTTAAAGGAGAGAAAACCAAGGCACAGAGTTCATTTGCTAGAGGTCATCCGGTGTCTAAATCCATTTTAGGGGCTGGAGAGATGGCTCAGTGGTCTAAAGCACCTACTTGGAACAAGCTTGGCAAAGCACAGGGACCGCGGTTCGATCCCCCAGCACCACATGCCAGCCAGCCCCGCCCCCTGGTGGGCTGAGCTGGCCACACACATACACACACTAAATAAAAATGTAATAAATAAATAATTTAAAAAATAAATAAATAAATAAATCCATTTTAGCAAAATGTCGCTAACTGGCTAATTTGTAAAGAATAGGAAATAAACTTTTTGTGGTTCTGGAAGCCAAAAAGCCCAACATCAAGGTCTAGTACCTGCTGTATGCTGACAGAGAGGAGGGTATCACATGGAAGGCAGAACAGTGTACCAGCTCAGGCTGCCCTTATAAAGCCGTTCATGCCATCCAGGGTCATTCATAACCTCCCAATGTCCTACTCCGAGCACTATTCATCCACATGGACGTAGGCATGAAGTTTCTACCCAGGATCTTTGGAAACATATTCAAATGACAGCACCCAGCTGGTAAAGGGTCCTCTTGCTAAAACACAACAGCTTCAGGCTGGGCATGGTGGCACATACCTGTAGTCCTAGCACTCAGAAGACTGAGGCAGGAGGATCACTGTGAATTCAAGGCCAACCTGAACTACATAGCCAAACCCTGTCTTAAAAACAAAAACAAACAAATAAAAACCTCCAAAACATAATGATTGCATTTGTCATGTGAAGATGGTCACTGGAAGCGGCTTGGACAGCCTCACCCAGGCTGATCTGTGAGGATCTCAACCCTCCCCTCTCACACTGACGACAGCTCCCAACTGCACATCTCAACCTCATCCTCTGAGGCCTTCCTGGGTCCCCATCCGCTGGGGACTGAGCAGGAGGTGGATTGACACCAGAACTCTTCATATCTGAAGTCCCAGAACTGGGATTGGATAACTGATCCCAGGCCAATTCTAGGTTGTCCTCTCTTTTGCTATGGCCTTGAGTTAAGAATGTTTCTGACATTGTTTAAGACTGAAAAAGTCAAAGAGGTATCACTTTGTGGCATGGGAACTGGACATGAAATTCTCATTCTGTGGTCTGTGATATCGTGCCCCCCTCCAACCATGCTGTCCGTGGCAGTGAGCGGCCTGTTAGGTGAAGTGTCCAGCACAGTCCTGGAACAGCAGAACAGAGAGTTTTGCCTCAGGGGAACCCCTCTCTCTCCCTTCCTACTCTTCTCTTACTCTCTCAGCCTCTCTCATTCTGAGCCTCAACCCCCCCATGTTGAGTGTGGAAAAAGAGTGGAATGGTTACAGCACAGTCTCTGCTAGGTCACCTGCCCTGACCTCCACTTCCTCCTCTGACCCCACCTCAGAGGATACAGGGCTCTGTGGAAGGGTCTCCTCACCAGGGCCCACACGCCCAGCCCACAGTGGTGCCCGCAGGTGCTGGTGCTGCTGCTGGCCTGGGCTCAGACTGCATCCCTGGTACCTCCCCTGAGAGAGCCAGTCAGTCCCCCTGTGCTCTCCTTCAGCACTGGCCTATCCCGGAGCTTGTTCTACGTAATATGTACATTTATGAAGCTGATGCCAAACTCATGCACATACAGACTCCTGGTCTTTAGGACATCTACAGACTCTGTCCTTGAATTCTAAGTGGGGAAGGGAGCCAGGGCAAAGCCTCTCTGCCCAAAGTCAAGACTTTCAACTCCACATGACACTTCACTTCCCCACGCCCTATCACTACACTCAGTCCCGAGAACCCGCTAAGGGCTGGGGCCTTTCCAACTTCTTCACTTTGCACTGCTCAAAGTTTTTACACATCTCTCACTGAATGTTTCTTTCCATTAAAAATCAAACATACAATTAGCATGTTGAAAGATCCATACTGTGCCCCTGTAGAAAGATCTAAGATTCAGTTGGAGACCCTGGTGTGCCCCTGGCTGCAGATAGGGGTTAGGTCACTTCTGCTCTGCTGCAGGACTTGGACTTCCCAGGGAAGGGCAGAACTCAGCTTGGGGACTGGTGAGGAAAGGCACAGGGGTTCCTTCCCTGACCCTGCCTGCCTCAGCTCAGGGCCCTCTGGGTTGAAGACAGCTGCACTCTCTGTAGCCCCTTGGAGAGAAGCTCCTACACTGAATGACCTGTATGCTTGCTCCCCAAGCCTGGGCTCCAGCCTGAGGACTAAACCCCAGGCTTCCCGTGTTACCAGGATCCTCTGATCCTCTGCCCAAGTCAGCCTCAGACAGACAGACAGACAGACAGACAGACAGACAGACAGAGAAATAGAGAAATAGAGAGAGAGTTCTGAAGGCTCAGGGACAGAGCAGGGGAGAGAGGGAGAGGGTCGCCAAAACCCTCTACTCCCCTGTCACCTGCCCAATTCCCTGTGCTCACAGCCTTCCAGAGCCTTCAAACCAGGATCTGAAATTACAAAATGTGCTGGATTTCTCTCTAACACCAGCTGCCACCTCATGGCTTCCCTTTGGGCTTGGGATGCTGGAGAAAGCGCAGTAAGAAAGGCGCATCACCAGAGCCCCGCATCACATTTGTGCTCCCTGTGGGGTAGAAGGGGTGTCCTGAGTGGGGAAGCAGAGAGGACAGTGAGCGGTGAGACCCACAAGTCCCATAGCCTGTGCTTCCAGGCACCATCACGTGCACCCTCAGAGGTCCACTGCTCCAGGTCCAGAGATCGGAGCGGGCAGGCCCAGACAGAAGACCTGCTCAGGTGTACAGGCAGACCATTGCCCTGAAGGGAGCCCGAGAGAAGGGAGGAGGTGACAGAGGGCTCCCGGGACGGGACTCGCCAAGGGAAGCACCTCCTCCCCAGCTGCTACACCATACATTCCATCCCTGTCCTGCCATCCCCTGCCATCCGCAGCCCCTGGCCCTCATGTGGATGGGCGCCCACACCTCAGGCGGGAGAGGTAACTGGACCTGGGGGTCGGGAGGCCATCCTAGAAATGCCCCAGAGATGTGGCAGAGGCCTCCAAGCCAGGCCTGGGCTTCCCTCCTCCGAGTCAGCCTCGAAGAGCCAGGATGAAAGGCGCAGCTGACCCCTTCTGCAGTTCAGCACTGAGCGTTTCTCAACCCCACGAAAAGACATTTTTTCGGAGGAGGGGCCTGTGTTTAGCAGGTGAAAATGTGGGACTCGGGTCCCAAAGGACCACAGGTTCAGATCCAGGCCTGATGACTCCCCCAGCAGCGATGGCAGCACAGGGTCCGCCCCCCGCGGGTGCTCAGAGGGGCTGAGCCCCCCAGGCCTTGTCCCACAGCAGTATTGTCACCCAAGTCCCACTGCTCGGTTCAGCACAGTGTTTGCCCAGCCTGGCTCCCTTCCTCTGTGTGAGACGGATGATCACGCTTCAAGCAGGAGGGCACCCAGGGCGGGCTGTGGGCACTGGAGCCTCTCAGCCAGTCATCCGATTGCCAGTGTCACTCTACACTGGAGGGAGACCCTGAGTAGAGACCTCTGCTATTCATCTGAGGCCATACAGCATGTTTGTGGCAGGAGAGGGACTGGCAGACACAGGTGTCTTAGTTACTATTCTCATTGCTGAGACAAAAACGCCCAAAGTTAAAGAAAGAAAGGGTTATTTGGCTCGCAGTTTGTAGAGGTGTAAGCCCACAGTCGGCTGGCTCCAAGGCAGGATGGCTGGCAGAGGACATCACAGAGGAGAAGCAGCTCACGGCTGGCAAAAAAAGGCAGCAAAAGAAAGCAAGAGGAAGAAGACACGCCTCTTTCTGTCCCTTATGTTGTATCTGGGCTACTGGAATAAGGGTGGTGCCACAGATTTAGTAACCACCCTTAATCCCAGCATCACACGCTCCAAATTCAGCCGCCTCTGAAAAAGCCCAATCTATGACTGACTGCATGAGACCTTGAGGGGCCATCCAAACAAAAACCATGACAATAAGGCTTCGACTCCTGCCTGCAGTGTAATGGGACTCAGAAAAACTTATGCAGATTGATGTGTTTTGTTTCTTCATTTCTCTGGGTGCTAGATTTGAAGTCCAGGGCCAGCACATGCTCGGAACCTCTGTCCTATGGAGCTCCAGCCTCATCTCTACCTGCAGAAAACTAAAACTAGACCCTGCATACGACCCAGTTATTCTCCTTCTAGGTCTCTTCCCCAAAGAGGTATAGACATCACGCTGCAACAATACGTGTACACCTACATCCTTAGCAGCACAAGAGGCAATAACTGAATCTTGGAAACAGCCTACATACCTGTCAATGGATGAACAGATTAAAAAGCAGAATTTAGAGCAGGCCAGATAACTCAGCAGATTAAAGCATCTGCTTAGGCAGATGCAGGGACTGGGGTTTGATCCCTGGCATGGCATGCCATGCCTGCCCCTGCCCTAGGGCATACTGAGACAGTAATTGAGACTGGGTATGGTGGTGCATGGCCGTAATCCCAGTGCTTGGAGGCTGAAAACAGGAGAATCACTATGAGTCTGAGCTGTGTAGTGAGACCCTGTAGATCCTGTACTAAATACACAAAAAAGTGGGGCTTGGGGAGACAGCTCAGTAGAATAAGCGCATACCTGGCAAGCGCAGGGTACTGAGTTCAACCCCCGGTACCGCCAAAACAAAAAAGCATAAAAAAGTAGAATTTATGTATAATGGGGTTCTACTCTGCTATAAAGGATAAATTAGATTCATTTGTAGGAAAATAGAAGTATCTTGAGACCA